GCCGCCCGCGCCGCCTCCGCCGCCCTGCCCTACAACCTCAGCCTGGAGGTGGTGCCCGGCGCCCCCCGCCACCGCGACCCGGCCTCGCTGGCGCGCTGGCTGTGCCAGGCGCTGGTGGTGCGCGGGGTGGCCGCCGTCCTCGCCTTCCCCGCCTCCCGCCAGGAGCTCCTCCAGCTCGACTTGGCCGCCGCCTTCCTGGAGATCCCCTTCGTCAGCCTCGTGGAGCGGGACGGAGAGGAGCCCCCCCTGCCCTTCGCAGCCCCGGTAAGCCTCCCCAGGGGAGGGAACCTTCGGGACTCCCGCTGAGCCTCCCTGGGCAGGAGCAGTCTACCTTGGAGGCGGTTGGGATGGATCGTGGGAGTCCTTCAGAGCAATGCTCCCCCCAAGCTGTGGAGTCTTGTGAGCAGAAATTCGATTTTGTCAGCTCCTGGCATTCAAGTTGTGAGCAGGCGATTTGGCCACTGCATCTGTCAGTTTGCTCTGGGCCCTCCTCCCTGAGCTGAGACAAAAAGGTGTGAGGCTAAAACACTGTGAGCTGGCTCACACCAACTCAGCTTAGAGGGAACACTGCTTTGGCGGTCCTTACCCAAAGCAGATATTTGCAGGAAAGGCTGAGAAGATATCGGCTGGGGAGAGTTGAGCAGAACCTCCATGTTCAGGGGCAGTCGATTAACGGCAGGTTACCTCCTCCCAGAGGTAGCTGCTCAGTCACCGGGCCTTTGTGTTCTTGCACCACCCACAGATTTGGGGGAGTGCGACACGGGGGGGGGGGGGGGGAGACGGGCACCTCTGGGATATCTGCCTTGGCACTTGTTTTCTCCAGGTTGTGTTTCCAAACATAAAGGGGAGGAGGACGGACAAGGAGCTCGGAGCCATGTGCAGTGTGCTTTGCCCTTTGGATCTGCCAAAAAGACACCTAAGCTAAGGAAGCAAAGGTTTCTGGGCCCGCTGAGGACTGCATCCTTAGTCAACATCAGCCCCGGCACCTCTTTGCTTTTGAGGTGCTCGTTCGGCAAAGACCAGGGCTCCGGAGGCCCTCCTCTGGGGGACTTGTTGGTAACCGTGGGCCTCTTGGCACAGACTCCTCCGTGACCCATCTGTGTGCCTTCCTCAGTGGGTCGTAAACCGCCATCCAGAGCTTCTGCCAACCCAACTAATCCATGCAGTCTGGGGCGTTGCTCTTGGAAGCCGCCCCATGGCAGGTGCCGTTGCCCGCTGTTCTCTTGGGACAGGGCACGACAGATTCCCCGCTGGTGTTCCTTTGCCCTGTGGGCTGGGCAGGCTGCCACTGTTGCAGCCCGGTGGCTCCATACCACCCAGGATCAGGCCTGTGCCAGGATCTGGGGGCCGTTTGCCAAACTCCCCCTAGTTTGCCATCAGGTGTCCCTTTTCCCCTCGATGGGTCTTCTTTCCCCTGGCGCCGTGAGCAATGTTCCCTCTAAGCTGTGGAGTCTTGTGAGCAAAAATTCTACTTTGAGAGCTACAGACATTAAAGTTGTGAGTGAGCAATTTGGCTACTGCATAAATTAGTTTGCTCTGGAGCCCTCCTTCCTGAGCTAAGACAAAAATATGTGAGCCATAGGCTAAAAAACTGTGAGCTGGCTCACACTAACTCAGCTTAGAGGGAACACTGGATGTGAGCACTGCTTGAATCAGACGCCCACCCGCCCACCCCTGGGTGCTGTCCCAAAATCCCGCACTGTGTGAGTTGCAGTACAAGAGTTGCAGTACAGTTTCCCTTTGTGCCGTTGTGTCGGTAGGTGTGCAGAAATAAAACTTTTTGTGTGCGTATTTCCATAGTCCTTTGAGTCAGAGTAATAAGCATTGTTTTTAATCGTACGGGGCTTCTTCGACTGGCACCGCTTCAAGGCCGCCTGGTGTCCTAAAGGGGCTTTGATCAAGACTCGCAGTGTTCCCTCTAAGCCGAGTTAGTGTGAGCTAGCTCACAGTTTTTTAGCCTCTGGCTCACACATTTTTGTCTTCGCTCAGGAAGGAGGGCTTCAGAGCAAACTAATTGATGCGGGAGCCGAATCGCTCGCTCACAACTTTACTACCAGTAGCTCACAAAGTAGAATGTTTGCTCACAAGACTCCACAGCTTAGAGGGAACTTTGATCATGAGGACTAGTCCCTTGCGGATCTCCTTCCCGTGTTTGTTCCCGCCTGTTCCAACGGAGGTGTTACCCTGCAGTGGGTTCTCGCGTCTTCTTGCCACTGGAGGTCTGTTGCCAAGACGAGGAAAACAAATGGTCGTATTTAAGAGAGATATATTGGCGGGGAGATGTTTGAGAAATGGTCTGGAACACCTCCCCGGGCAGTGCCGAGGATGGCTCCCGCAATCTGTCTGCTCTTCAGTGGAAATTTTTTTGGGGGTTGGGGGGGGTTACAGTTCTGGGAAGGAACTGCCACTTTTGAGAAATGCCCGCCTTTCCGTCGGCAAACAGTCGCATTGACGAAGCCTCTTGTCTTGTTTTCTGCCCGGCTGGTTGTATAACTGGCTCACGTCTCTTGCGGTAGCGGGGAGCTGATGGAATAGCAAAGGGACCTCTTTTTTGGGGGGGGTATATCCAGGCTGGGGTGGGGCGGGGGTGTGC